AATCGGGGGAAAAGGCAAATCAGGTGATTAGGCATTTAACCAGCTGTCTCGCAGTAATGGGACTGCCAAGAGAAATAAAGACTGATAATGGGCCTGCATATATTAGTCAGAAGGTCAGTCGATTTATGAGATTGTGGGGAATCAAACATGTTACAGGAATTCCTCACTCACCCACGGGGCAAGCCATAGTTGAAAGAGCAAATTGAACCTTGAAACAGTATCTAAGAAAGCAGGAGCAAATAACAGATCCGCAGGAAAAATTAGCCAGGACTCTTTTTGTGCTAAATCATTTATGTGTTTTTAGGGATGAAAGTGAACCACCAGCAGTTAAGCATGCAGAAAGGGAAGGACAGAAGGAGAGACAGAGTCTAAAAGCTGTCGTTCGATATAGAGACCCGAAAACAGGACTATGGAACGGTCCTGCGGAAGTCTTGTATTGGGGCAGAGGTTATGTTTGTGTTTCCACCCCCTCAGGAACACTGTGGATTCCAGCTAGATGGGTGAAGCCCTGGATTGATACAGCCAATGGCCAGTAACCTCCTTGAGTCAGCCCCAGTAGGTGAATGGTTAGACTCCTGGGGTATGAGAGGATGGGTGAAAAATGTACTTATGATGTTAGCTGGACCAGTTTTGCTTGTTGTTATAATTTTGCTTTTTGGACCATGTATTTTACAATGCATTCAGAACCGCTTAATTGCATTAACTACAGCCTTGTTAGAAAAACACGCTAACCTCGTAATCCAAAAAGAAAACGGGGGAAGTGTGGAGACTTTTGTGGCAGAATGGTTAGGCGAGAAAGGCCATGACTGTACAAACTTGCTAGAGATAAAACACCACTAGTGCAGAGGCAGTCTCAAGGACGGATTGCCCTTGAGATATGGGGAGGAGAACAAGAATGTGGTAAACAGAACGAGAAAGAAGAACCAGGGACGGTCTGGTAACCGCAAGAATGCAGAAGCACATAGCTATGTACCGCAGTAACATAGATAGCAGAATAACCAATGATGAGCTATACTTTTGCAATATGTATGAGCTAATTAAATCATGTATTTAAACACGAGTGTAATGATCAATAAACGAGATTTGCTTGACAACCACCTGGTGTCTGCCTCTCCCTTCTCCGACACCATGCCATGCCCCGTAAGGGCCCTGTCAGCTCCCCCTGCCACTGCTGCCCAGGCCACGGGGATGTGTCTGAGATCCCCGTGAGACAGAGCTGTCACCCTGCAGAGCTGCAATGACCATGTGGAAGACCATCATGTGCTCGAGCAGGACTGTGGAGCCAGTGGTGCAGATACTCCTCGATGTGCTGAGAACCTGGTCAGAGCACAGCAAGTGCACCTCCGATGGGGACAACACGGGTGTCTTTGCCCTGACTGTGAGTTTCTGCAACTGGCCTTTGCTCACCCCATGGCCGACCGCCTCTCCAACAGCTCTGTTTCCTCCTTCCCCCACCACATCTTCCTGCCTCAGGCACTGGGCTGAAACCTGGCCTAGGGGCAGCTTCAGGGGCACCAGGCGTGGAGCTCCCCAAGGCTTTCCCCTGGCCTTGCCCTGCCGCGCTCAGGCCCTGCCACACAGATGCCTTGGCACTGGGCACTATCCCTGGGTGCTTTGTCCTCTGCAGGCAACAGTGGTGATGTGGAAGTTCCTTCAGGTGCCCTGTGTCCCACGGGTAGTGAATGTGTATTTCCCCCGCCTCTTTGTGCATCTGCTCTTCCAAGTGTTCTTCAGCACTTTGGATATATCAGAGGATCTCAATGCCTTCTGGAAGGGATGCCAGGAGCAACACGGCCTTGCCATCAGCCCCAGCAGGTGCTCCATCCCAGTCCTCCTGTCCCTGCCATGTCCCCAGGGCAGGAGCCAGTGCTCCCAGCATGACCTGGGCTTTGCTGTGCACACAGGTTTGCAGTGCAGACCCTGAAGTCCCTGCTCTGCCAAATGCGCTGTAATGAAGTGGTGTTGTCAATGGAACGCAAGTGTGGCTGGGACACGCTGCTCTGTGCCGACACCCACCACTATGCCGTGGGTCTGCTGGCCAGGTGAGACCCCTTCTCCCCACTGCCTCTGGCATTTGTGCCCTGTGCCCAGGTTGCCCTGTGTCTACAGTCCCCATTGTTGAGGGCCAAAGGGCCTCATCACCAAGGGATGACCAAGGAGACTGGAAAAGTCTGGGAGAGGAAGGCTCCCATGAGCAGTCACCTCCCAAAAGGCTCAGATCCCCTTGCAGGATCATGGTGAAAGATCAGGACTTTTCAGTCATTCCTGGGAGATGTTTGTCCCTCTGGCTCATAGTCTTGGTTACTTTTTCACCCTGGCAGGGAGATATCCTGTGTCTCCAGGCGCTTGTGTTCCCGGATTGCTCGCTACCTGCTCCGGGTTCTTAGCACACAGGAGGCACGCTGGGATCTGCCTGCCCTGGCATTCCTTGTGGAGGTGAGCCCCATGGCCAGAACTGCCTCCCTGCAGAGCTGTCTGCCACCTCTCTGCCCTCTCATAGCTGCAGCTGCCTGGGACGGTGCCCATGCCCTGGGCTGCCGCCTGGGCCCTGTTTCCTGTGTGGTTCCTGCTCCTGCCGGCTGGCTCCCCTGTCACTGTCCTGTGCCTTTCAGATCCTGGACTACCTGGACTTGAGTGAACGTGGTGCTAACAGGCTCCTGGAAATCTTCTCAAGGCACCTGAGTAGCGAGTGCAGGGACAAGCGTCATCTAGTGCTCAGAGCCCTTTTCAAGCTCAGTGACGATCCCTCAATGGTGAGAAGTGGGCAGTGGCAGAAGCTGCACTGGGGAACAAAGTCACTTGGGCTCGGCTGGGCTTCGGGCACCGAGGCAGCTGCTGCCAGCTCTCTTGCCTCCCGCTTCAGCTGCCTGAGTGCTTTGGGACAGGCCTTTGGCCTCTTGGCCCTGTGGCAGCAGCAAGGTGGCATTTCACAGACTTGTCTTCCACACAGAATGAAAAGATGTGGAGCCTGACTGAAAGGCTTGTGGAGCTCCTGCGGGACGCAGATGGAGAAATAGTTAGGATGACAATCATGGTACTCAGCTTTGTAGTCTTGGACAAGGAGATGCTGATACCCAGCCCCATCGCCCTGCAGCTGGCTGAGGTGCTCCCACCACTCTTTGACCACGTAAGGCTCTGTGCCCCCAGCCGAGGCCACTGGCTGCTGCCTGGACACTTGGTGCACCAGGCCTGTGCTCTGCTGAGCCCCGTGCCGACAGGGCTGAGGTTTTTTTCTCTTCCTTCCATATAGAATAATAGCCAGGTGCAGCTGGTGTCCATACTGCTCTTCCAAACATTGGTGATTGTTTTAGTTGAAATGGAAAAAGAAGCCCTGGAGACACAAATGTGCCAGAGCCTGCTGCCACTCTTCTTCCACTGCCATGACGAGAACCAGCGTGTAGCAGAGGTGAGGACTCCCGGGCTGCTGCTGTCACCCAGGCAGGGGGCTCGGCTGCCTCCTGCCCTGGCACCTTGCCGGCTGCAGCCTCCTGCAGGCCTTGGCACACGAATGCGGGTCCTGTGCCCTGCCTTGTGGGGCCATCTGCGGGTCTCTGCTGCTCTCCAGGCCTCTCAGAGAGCACTGCTTAGCATGGCCAAGTTCCTGAAGAGGAGAGATCTTGGAAATCCCGTGAAGAAGGAGAAACTGTGGAAGTTCGCTGAGGTCCTGGTAAGGACGGCCTGGAAGGCCCAGCCTTAGCCTGGAGAAGCCCCCTGTCTCCGGCGCTCGGTGTATGGGGCTGGCAGCTGCGCCCCTGCCCAGTGCCGCAGCCGGGGGCCGCACGGCTTCTTCTCCAGGCTCCTGTGGCCCCGAGCCGGCTGCCTATGGAGCCCCGAGCCACTGGGGCTGCGGGTCGGGCCGGCACCGCGGCTCCCCGGGCAGCAGCCGGCCCTCTGCCCCCTCCAGAGCCCGGCGCCAGCGGCTGCTGCCCGGTGCCTCAGGGCTGGGCGGGCACGGGAGGCC